CAAAACATGACGTACACGGCATTGTGGCGGCATCGGTCTCGTGGACAGACTCTGCCTAAACCTTCGACCGCCCCCATCACCCCCGCCGCCAAGAATAGGCTGAGACGACTTCCAGAGAACACGATCGAACACGACAACGCTCACTTACCACGTGTGTGAACGGCTCTGAGATGACTCTGTCGGGGTGAGGGAGGTCGGGTCAACATTCACAAACAAACCCGGTGCCGACACACGAGGTTAAACCAAGGCCAGGACAGTTGTAAACACGAGCTCATCGTCGTGGTGCAATGCGTAGGCAGACGAATCCTTCGCCCTTGCCGCCAGAAGCACCAGCCTCGAAAAATCATCGGCGATGCATTCAACAACCCACTTTAATACTCATACCTATCAGCCGATTTTACGTTATAGGTGTAACGCATTTCGAATGGTTACCGGCAATACCAGTTCCCAGGCGAAGCTGAGCCAACTAACCACGCAAATTGCAGAGCCAAAAATGCGTTGGATATTTAGTTTTCACTGCGACCAATCCAGTCTTTAGCTAACCCACTAAACATAATGAAGAGTGTTTCGAAAAAGTTTCGTCACGTATACTGGTGAATCGATTGAGGCTACAGCCTATGAGAAATGCGAAAACCTTACTTTCAAGGTACAGTAGAACCTCAGTTAACGAGCTTAATCCGCTCCGGCACCGAGTTCGTCATTTGAAATGCTCATCTTGCGAAGCGCAGGCAATCAAATTGTATCCGTTCACTGATTGGTTGCAGCTGACCGAGGAAGCACGCCCTGGGAGCACGACTCGACGGTGAACATACGCGCGCACACACACACGCACTTACAACTGGGGAGAAGCTCGCCAATCGAAACAAATTTTCTGCAATCGGCTCGCTCGTTACCGAGGTGTTCGTAGATGGGTCAGCTCGTCACCCGAGAAGAGTAAGATACAGACTCGAGCGATCATGTGTCGCTGTTTTGCCGTCATACCCCAACCCGAGAGAAAGAGCTAATAGTTGAGCCTAGGTTCAGTTAAATTCGTATACCCTAGAGGTGACTACTACTCACGGGGAGAAAGTTCAGCACCATTGGAGCGGTCACATCTTGCGAGCGATGGAATGTCAATCGACACTAGAACGCGACTGTGTGACGCAATTTAGTGTACTTAATCTCCCCCTTTTTAGTGTTTGTTGATGCTAAAATCATCACCCGCTAGAAAACCGGCAAAAGACTAGGAGGGACAAGTTGACAGTCGGCAGGGCAATGGAGGCTAAAGTCAGAGGAATGCAAAAACCATGCTCACTAACAATTTTAGATGATATGCCCGATAACGGGAAGGGGTGACGTACGACATCTTAGTAACAAATGACAAACCTTCGTAAAGCAGTTTACAAAGGTTTTCAAGCACCGTGACCGTGAAATTCTCCAACGACCTGGACTTATCATTAAGCCCTGATATTATTGTTATGTCAACTGAGCATGGGCTTGACCGCTCTCAGCTCTTTGACATCAGACTTTGCATAAATTAAAGAAATTCCCCGTTGGTTGTGTCTGAGTTGGCCACCGTCCAAATATCTTACCAACGAGCCCGTGGGGCAGTAGTTAGACCGTTTGACTTATAACTAACAAGGTCGCGGGTTGGTCGGTCTCCGGAGCTGCCGAAGAGAATGGCTCGAACTGTCCAGGTCTGCGGCCACGGACCATCGCGCGT